GGTCTAAAAGACGATGCTCCCGCTTCCGAGCTACAACCAGCTGTATAATGTGGACCCCCACCATAGCTTTATGTGCCTCCCACAGGGGCACTGCCGAAGAAACAGATCCCGAGTTCTCCGTAAAATATGTTCATATGAAAGCTTCAATTTGCTGGCAGATGACCTGAGTGGTCAATAAAGATTCGTTACTGTGCCAGTGAAATTGGCGCCTTGCCGACCCCGAAAGTGTAGAACCAGAAAGATCATGGTCCAACCATGGCGAGGAAGGGATAGATATCCGCCTGACTAAAGGTAGCTGTTGGACATGCATAAATACATGGTCAATTCTGCAGAAACTGTGATGAGAATTTGAGTAGAACGTGAAGTCGCACTCACTTGGGTGAAGTTCCCTCCAAACGTCCCCCAGCCTCGCAGACTGCAAGAGTGAGTACATGCGTTCCTCCTGCACTAAGTCATGAGAAGGGGCCGCCCCCCAGGCATAGCACCTATCTAGAGCAGAATCCAAGGTAACATTTGAATCCCCCAAAAGAAGAAGGAGGCCTTTGGAGTGTCGGTCAATGATGATACAAAGATGTGAGAAAAAATTGTGCTGAAAGCGATTGGGAGCATAATAAGAGACAAAAGGGACCTCTTGATCCCAGAGGGTGCCCTGCAGGAGGAAGTACCTGCCCGTGGGGTCCACTATATCCTGAGCACAGATAAAAGGGAGATTGCATTTGAAGGCGATCAGAACACCCCATCATTTCTCAGGAGCTGAGGCCATGTAAAAAGTGGGATAATGACGTGAAAGATATCGTGGGACGGAGGAGTGGGCAAACCTGGTTTCCTGCAAGCATACCACATCAATTTGTTGTGATTTGAGGGGGATGAAAAACTTAAGACCCCTTCTGAGGCGAATTAAAGCCTTGTATATTTAGTGAGTGTACTTTTAGAAGGGGCAAAGCCATGGTGGGATCAGCGTAATCCGCTCAGCATAAAAAGCATAAGTCGGCCAACAACTTCCACTCCCAAAGACAGACGGTCCATGGTGTCCTGCAACCCTGCATAGAACAAAAACAGAAAAAACAGAAAAGAAGAGAATACAAGAATTAAAAAAAAGAGACACAGAGTATGTACAATGGCCTAACCATATTACACCTATGGTGAAATGCATCCTATGTTCAAAGGATACCGATTGGGGGTGGCTCTACCACCCGAACACATGGCTGCAAATGGATATATCAAAAAACATAGGCCCCCAGGGGGCAAGGGAGGCAACAAACATAACATAAATTCCTTGGGAAGTGGGTCACACCCGTGGAGACCCTCTCATAGGAAACCCAACCAGGTTTTGGGGCCCAACCCCCTCCAGGGGGATGACTACAGGCCACAACGGAGCTTAAAAAAACACACCTCAGATGGTCCCTCACCCTGGTGCCCCAGCAAGGCTGACATCCTAGCACTGAATAAAGGCTCACCCGAGCTAACCTCCCTCCCTCAAGCCCGAAGGAACTATCGGCCCATTCCACCAACCTAAACCCAACCAATATTGCCAGGACCTGTGGCAGTCTTCAGTAGCAAAAAGTCACAGACTTAAAGTCCAGGAAATGATCCCTCACTCAAGGACAGAACCACAAGGGAGCCAGTTGGGCAGGGCCTAATCCTAGAACACTATCAATACTGGGAATGCCAAAAAGGCCAAACTCACGGTCCCGTCAAAAGAATTTAACGGTGAAGCACAATGGAGGAAGTCCTGGACTTAACTTCAGCCCGGGAAAGAGCAGGTTGGACTTGGTCATAGAGGGGTCCGGGAGGGCCCTCTTTCCGGTTGGATGCCTTCTGCTAGATGCGGCCCAGAGGAAGCGGCCCCACCGGAGATCCAGATGAATGTACCGGACTCAGCACAGTTCTTCCCAGTGGGATGAGATGCAGGGATTCCAGGAGAGAGTGGGCCTCCTCTGGCGTGGCAACAGAGTGGCTACAGCCCTGGTAGTCGAAAGGTGAGGCAGAATGGAAATGCCCATGCGGAAAGCCCCATGTGTATTTAATTCTGCAATTTACCAGGATCGAGGTGAAGGGCTTCAACTGGTGGCACTTCTAAAGAGTGAGGTCAGAGAAGAGGTGTTAGTGATGCCCCTGGAAACTGAGATCTGGGTTGTTCGTGGCCGCCAAGAGAATGGTTTCCTTAGTACGATAATAGGTAAATTTGCAGATAATGTCTCTTGGGGTCCCTCCAGTCATCTGGGACCCAATGCATGGTGTATGCGGTCAAATTCGAGTTGGTCAAAGGGGATGGTGGCAGTCAGCTCCTGAAACAGGGCAGTAGCGTTTTAGGTGAAATCCGTAACGGTTTTTGGAATACCCCGTAAGTGTAAGTTGCCATGACGGGAATGGTTCTTGAAATTTTCAATCCGGAACAGCGTGTCCGTTAATTCATTCTTAAGGTTGCACTGTAACCACTCTTTTTTACATCCTTAAAGTTTCTTGGCTGCCGCTTGGCAACTCAAAGTTTCAGCTCACTCCATACATTTTCTATAGGATTAAGGCCTGGGAGACTGGCTAGGCCACTCCATGGCCTCAGTGTGCTTCTTCTTGAGCCACTCCTTTGTTGCCTTGGTGGTATGTTTTTGGGTCATTGTCATGCTGGAAGACTTATCTAGAACTTATCTTCAGTGTTCTGGCTGAGGGAAGAAGGTTCTCATCCAAATTTTTACAATACATTGTCCCGTCCATTGGCCCCTCATTGCCGCAAAATCGGCCTGTACCTTTAACAGAGAAACAGCTCCAAAGCATAATGTTTCCACCTCCGTGCTTGACTGTAGGGATGGTGTTCCTCCAAACACAGCGAGTCAAGTTAATGCCAAAGAGTTTAATTTTGGTCTTATCTGACCACAGCACTTTATCCCAATTCTTCTCTGAATCATTTAGATGTTCATTGGCAAACTTCAGACGGGCCTAAACATGTGCCTTCTTGAGGAGGGGAACCTTGTGGGCGCTGCAGGATTTCTATTCATGGCGGCATATTGTGTTACCAATAGTTTGTTTGGTGACTGTGGTCCCAACAGCCTTAATAGGTCCCAGCAGCCTTAATAAGATACTTCACAAGATCCTTCCGTGTAGTTTCTGAGCTGATCCCTCACTTTTCTTATGATCATCCTTACCCCATAAGGCAAAATCTTGTTTCATACAGTATACACAACAAGTAAACCTTGTAACAAAATATCAATGTACATCATAAGGTGTACTCTTTGGTCTTGCCCATAGTGATGGTGAGGTTTGAATGGAAGAAAGAGATTCTGTGGACAGGTGTCTTTATATATAAATAATGAGTTGTCATTAGGAACTCCTTAACCGCTTCCCAACCATGCTATAGCCAAAAGACGGCTACAGCATGGTTGTCCAGTTCTGGAAGGGTGTCCATGGATGTCCTCCCAAAATGTGCCCCCTGCGCGCCCCCAGCGGGTGCGCACCCGGCACTGTCGGTGATCGCTGCTGTGTCCAATGGACACAGCTGATCACGTGATAAGGTAAAATGCCAATCACAGTGGCCTTTTATTATGTGATCAGCTGTGTCCAAAGACACAGCAGATCACAATGTAAATACAGTTGCCGGTTATTGGCTGCACTTTCCTCACGCTGTTCAGTGTGAAAAAAGTACTGCCAATAACAGGCAAATGTGACAGGGAAGATCTGCACTAATAATCAGGGCACTGATTATCACTGTCACCCATCAGTGCTGCTCAGCAGTGTCACCCGTCAGTGTTGCTCAGCAGTGTCACCCATCAGTGCTGCCCAGCAGCTTCGCCCGTCAGTGCCCAGCAGATTTGGCTGTCAGTGGTGCCCAGCAGTGTCGCACGTCTGTGGTGCCCAGCAGTGTCGCACGTCTGTGCTGCCCAGCAGTGCCCACCCATCAGTGCTGCTCAGCAATGCCGCCCGTCAGTGCCTCCAGTCAGTGCCGCCCATCAGTGCCCATTATTGCTGCCTATCAGAGCATCATCAGTGCCTCCTCATCAATGCCCACCAGACTCCTCAGTGACGCCTCATCAGTGCTACCTATCAGTGCCGCCTCATCTGTGCCCATCAGTGCTGTCTACCAGTGCCCATCAGTGCTGCCTATCAATGCAGCCTCATCAATGCACATCAGTGAAGGAGAAAAATTACCTGTTTGCAAAATTTTCTAATAGAAACAAAGAAATCCTTTTTTTTTTTTTAATTTTTTGCTATTTTTTCATTTATAGTGCAAAAAATTGAAACCCCAGTGGCAAGTAAATATCACCCAAAGAAATATCCATTTGTGTGAAAAAAAATGATAAAAATTTCATATGGGTACAATGTTGCATGACCACGCAATTGTCATTGAAAGTGCAACAGCACTGAAAACTGGCCTGTGCAGGAAGAGGGGGTGAAATTGCCCACCCAGTAGGCAAGTGGTTAAACTGACAGGACTAATCTTTGTACCACATGAGAACATAGCCAGTCTGTAGGAGACAGAATTATTGTTGAGTGGTAGGGGTTCAAATACTTATTTTAAACACTGAACTGCAACTCAATTTATAACATTTGTATCTTGTTTCTGGATTTTTGCTTGATATTCTGTCTATCATTTAAAATATACCTATATAAAAATTATAGATCCTTCATTTCTTTGTAAGTGGGCAAACTTACAAAATTTGCAGGGGATCAAATAATTATTTTTCCAACTATAGGTGTTTTGTGAAATTTTTTCAGTGTTCTGCAAATATTCCTTTTTGCTCCATTTTTTTGTGTATATGTTCCTCTGTGTTATACTACAGTCATCTTTTTAAGATATGTTTTAAATATGGTGTCCATTGATATTTTGTTACAAAGTTTACTTATTGTGTATACTGTATGTACTTTGGGCTTTTTGGGCAGCAGGACAGGTTCTAGGCCAGGTGGAGAATATATATTACAGTATGGGCGCGTTGCCGCCGCCGCCCCCCCCCCCTTCCCCCAATGGAAGGGACACTAAGTATCAGGGGTGGGCAGCGGCTGTTTCTTACCTGGTCCCGGTCCCACGACGACTCCAGTCCAGGAAGCGCGGCTGCGCCTTCAGTTCGGCCACTGGATGTTCGTGAGCGGCTGCTTGGCTCCGCCTCCTCACCATTGATTGGCCGCCAGAACTGTAGCTCAGGAAAGGCACACAGGCGGCCAATCACCGCGAGGGGTGGAGCCGAGCGGCCCCCCGCGAAAATCGAGTGCAGACCAGCAGGTAAGTGGTCAGGTGTAGAGGTGCTGCTGCAACCACATATGCTGGCTGCAGCAGCACCATACGAGAACAGGGTCAGCAAGTGTCAGTGGGAGGAATAGTGCCCCATCATTGGTGTCACTGATACCAATGATGGAGCACTATTCCTCCCACTGACACCTATGATGGGGCACTATTCCTCCCACTGATACCAAATGATGGAGCACTATTCCTCCCACTGACACCAATGATGGGGCACTATTCCTCCCACTGATACCAATGATGGGGCACTATCCTCCCACTGACACCAACGATGGGGCACTATTCCCCCCCCCACTGACACCAACGATGGGGCACTATTCCTCCCCCATCACTGACACCAACGATGGGGCACTATTCCTCCCCCCCACTGACATCAACGATGGGGCACTATCCCCCCCCCCCACTGACACCAATGATGGGGCACTATTCCACCCCCCACTGGACACCAATGATGGGACACCATTCCTCCCACTGACACCAATGTTGGGACACCATTCCTCCCACTGACACCAATGATGGGGCACAATTCCCCCCACTGATACCAATGATGGGGGCACTATTCCCCCCACTGATACTAATGATGGGGCACTATTCCTCCCACTCATACCAATGATGGGGCACTATTTCCTGCCACTAATGCCAATGATAGGGGCAACTATTCCTGCACTGATACCAATGATTGGGGACGATTCCTCCCACTGACACCAATGACGGGGCATATTCCTGCCACTGATACCAATGATGGGGCACTATTGACCTGCCACTGATACCAATGATGGGGCACTATTCCTGCCACTGGTGTGCATTGGAAAAGGGGTAGTCTTATACGGCGAGTATAGCTTCAAACACTAAATTTTTAGGCAGGAAAAGGTATGGGGGGGTCGTCTATATACGCCCAGGTCGTCTTATACGCCGGCAAATACGTATATGAATTTGATGAAGACTTTGGGTTGAAACTAGGAATTGAGGATTGGATTTGCCACTACCCAAGGGTTTGAGGCGACTCCTGCAGGTTCTAAATTTTTGGCCCCCAGGGAAATTCATACAGGGAAGCTTTATAAAAACCATAATGCACTGCATAGCCTTTGATCTATGACCAGCAAGCATATAAAGGCCCCAAATAAGGGGGCTTTTGGTTAAACCATAAAAAAGGGCAAAGAGAAGCCTTGGTCCTTAGCAAGTTGGAAACTGTGGTAGGGAAAGCATAAAGAAAGCTGACAAATTGCACAACAAAGGATATTATTATTATACAGTATTTATATAGCGCCAAAAGTTTGCTCAGCGCTGTACATTAATAGTGGGGGACAGTACATGAGACAATACAGTAACAAAAAACAATACACGAGGGGTTTCGAGGGCCCTGAACTTTCGAGCTTACAATCTAGGAGAATTCTAGGATAAATTAGGGTCCACTAGAAAACTGGATTTTGATTCTGATTGGATCTTTGAGAGATCAACCCCCCTTTTGCCACCCCCCTTACTACATAGATGAATTAGTTAGGTATACACCAGTTCAGGCCTATTATCCCTGATTAAAAGACAGTTTTGCATCAGCGAGAACAGGGACAGCCACAGTGAATTACTGGCCAGTTTATAGATGCTGATAAAGTGGGTCTATTGCCATAGATGAAAAAGCATGTGTTGTTTCTACAGCTACAAAAAAGTCCTTTTTTTTTGTCAAACAGAAATTAATCAGATTGGGATGCCTTTTGGATGATTTGCCTTTTGCAAAAGAAAAAAAATCAATTCCAAAGCCACATGCTCTGTTGCTGAGACGGTCTGTGAAAATCATTCTGTTTTGTAACCGCATATACAGGTTTAAGGTATCCCAAGCGTGGTATTTATCCCCTTTCCCTGCTACCATCATAAGGCGTCCATCGGTCAGAAGTGCAGGCTTTTATATATTAACTGGGATATATAATATATAGCTGCCAGGGGTGTGTATACATGTTAAGATTTTTTGTTGAAAGTAATTCAGCCCCCCTGATCACTTACACCCCCCCAATGTACCACCCCCACTCTACTACCCCCAACTACCCCAACCATGCATTCTGGGATCTATTACCCCCAACTACCCCAACCATGCATTCTGGGCTCACCAAGTTTACTACTGTCCCCCCTACGGGCCTTGGTCACACAGGTGTTGGAAGGCAGAGCAAAAGGGGAGATTAGTGAACGCCGGGCACTGCGGAGGGCTGCTGTGGCTGGGCTGGGCTGGATCAGTGGGTAAAGTGCCCTGCATGGCTCAGTGAGGATTACACCTGGTCACACCCCCGGGAGCTCGGTACAAAGTGATTACAAAGTGACAGAAGTCCGGGGATCTGCCGATATGGAGCACTTACCTCTGCTGCTGTGCCTGGTCGGACTGATCGGCTCTCTTTAACTACCCACAGAGCAGTTGCACCATTACTGGCAGCGGATGTCGGATAGTGAGGGATACCAGACCAGACCAGACCTTAAAGGGACCTCAAGTTTTCTGTGATTGATATCTCTAAATGCGCAGATTGATTGCCTATATCTGGTGAGTGCGCAGTCTTTATAATTTGAGTTATATCACCACCTTACCAGATCAGATCACTGGATTTTGAAGATCATCACGATCTCCCATGCACCTTATTTCTGGACTATATTTTTAATTTTTTTTGGCACTTTGCACACCATTGGTCACTACGTAGTGACATAGTATATCACTGTTCAAATCACTTCATTTATTGACGTGTAAGCACCTCATCACTGGGGCCACCCATTTATTAACGTGCTATATATTTATGGTGCATATGTACAATTAGTCTTGATTAGAATGACACGTTTCATATGATATCACTAAGTCACTTTATTGCTATTTATTGTGCTTTGCTATTTATGGTTTATGATCATATTGGTTGCTTTTTTATTTATTTATCTTGCATCATTCTATGTGGTTATTTTAGCGCTACACATTGCTATTTATTGTCAATTTTGGAGGTTTATTGGTACCGTGAGCTTTTTGGTGTTTAGCAGCTTTTAGACTTTTAGCGCTCACTTATCGTTGTTTTACTACATGTTTTCACTTATTTCCGCTTTTCCCTCTGGTGAATGAACCTGGAATCAACAAGTATTTCTTCACTTCCAGGTTCAGGGCTGTCTGCATTTAGGTGATCTTTGAAAACTCACTTATTCAGGGAAGCCTACCCCACCTCCACCTAAGAACTGTACTTAAATACCCTCCACCAGATCATCCCCTGCAGCTATCACCTTTTGTATCACCTCCCCTTCCTTTAGATTGTAACCTCCAGGAGCAGGGCCCCCAGATTCCTTTTGTACTGAAATGTATTGTAATTGTAATGTCTCCCTTATATTGTAAAGTGCTGCGCAAACTGTTGGTGCAATGTAAATCCTGTATAATAATAATATTTCCCAGGAGAGCTGGCCAGGGAAGAAGCTCATCAAGCACAACCCGCACATATGCTTAATGAGCTTTAGTGAGGTTTATTAGTAACATAAAAAGGCTTGACATGTTTGAGGGGTTTAATTAATCTTTGGGACTAAAATGTGCATTTTATCATGTGTGCAAAAAATATTAAACAGCTCTGGCAGCCAAAGAGTTAAAAATATTGGTGTATTCAATGTTGCCCATAAGGGACATTTTTTTGCATTGGTACATGGCAGTGGCCAGCTTCCCACATTTTTATTTGACTGTGGTTGCCTAGTAACCCTAAAAATGGCCAGAATTCAACAACAAGTTGCCCCTCTCCTCCATGGACGTCAATGGGATGCACCTCTAACTTTAAGTCTATATGGCAGATTCTCCTATCACTAGCTGAAATGTATTCGTTTCATATAACGCAGTGCTTTTCGCACTCACTTAGATGTTTTTAATGGAACAAATAAAGGATTGAGTTTATCTTCAGGTTGAGGAGCTGATCCTTTCTGGGCTATAGTTTGTATTTAGCTGTGGAGCACATAAATCTTCCTCCCCACACTGGAGGGCATTTATGTTTGTAGGAACTAGGGATAAGCAAATCTGCCGGAAGTCTATAGGGGAAGGGGTATGTGTGTGAATCCTGTTAGGTAATTCTGGTTTTAGGTCTTTAACCGCTAGCCTACAGGGCACTTGTACCCCCTTCCTGCCCAGGCCAATTTCCAGCTTTCAGCGCTGTCGCACTTTGAATGACAATTGCGCGGTCAAACAACACTGTACCCATATGAAATTTTTATCATTTTTTTTGTGACAGATAGAGCTTTATTTCAGTGGTATTTAATCACCTCTGGGTTTTTTATTTTTTCTTAAACAAACCAAAAACCACTGAAAATTTTGAAAAAAAAATGTTTTTTTCTTAGTTTTTTATTTTCAAATTTTGTAAATAAGTGATTTTTCTCCTTCACTGATGTGCGTTAATGAGGCTGCAGTGATGGGCACTGATAGGCTGCACTGATGAACACTGATAGGTGGCACTGATGGGCACTGGTAGGTGGCACTGATGGGCAATGACAGACATCACTGATGGGCACTGAAAGGCAGCACTGATACATGGCACTGATATTTGGCACTGACAGGCGGCACTGACTGGCACTAATAGGTGGCACTGACTGGCACTGTTAGGCGGCACTGACTGGCACTGTTAGGCGGCACTGACTGGCACTGTTAGGCAGCACTGACTGGCACTGTTAGGCGGCACTGACTGGCACTGATTGGCAGCAATGATAGGTGGCACTGATTGGCATTGATGGGTGACACTGAAAGGCAGCTCAGATGGGCACGGATATGTGGCATTGATGTGCACTGGTAGGCACTGATGGGCACTGGCATGAGGCACAGATGAGCACTGACATAAGGCACTGATGGACACTGACAGGTGGCACTGCTGGGGCTACACTGATCATCAGGGCACACTGATCATCAATGCCCTGATGATCTGTGTACATGTCCCCTCCGCGGAAAGCCGATTACCGGCTCTCCTCTGTCAGCGT